TCTTCATAACCAGTAAAATCATAGAAGTAAGTGTTCTACATAACTAGCCAAATCATAGAAGCAGGTGTTCTACATAACTAGCCAAATCATGGAAGTAGGTGTTCTTCATAACTGGTAAAATCATAGGTGGGTGTTCTTCATAACCAGTAAAATCATAGAAGTAAGTGTTCTACATAACTAGCCAAATCATAGAAGCAGGTGTTCTACATAACTAGCCAAATCATAGAAGTAGGTGTTCTACATAACTGGTAAAATCATAGGTGGGTGTTCTTCATAACTAGTAAAATTATAGAAGTGGGTGTTCTACATAACTAGCCAAATCATACAAGTAAGTGTTCTACATAACCAGTAAAATCATAGAAGTAAGTGTTCTACATAACTAGCCAAATCATAGAAGCAGGTGTTCTACATAACTAGCCAAATCATGAAAGTAGGTGTTCTTCATAACTAGCCAAATCATAGAAGTAGGTGTTCTACATAACTAGCCAAATCATAGAAGTAGGTGTTCTACATAACCAGTAAAATCATAGAAGTAGGTGTTCTTCATAACCAGCCAAATCATAGAATAGGTGTTCTTCATAACCAGCCAAATCATAGAAGTAGGTGTTCTTCATAACCAGCCAAATCATAGAGGTGGGTGTTCTTCATAACCAGCCAAATCATAGAGGTGGGTGTTCTTCATAACCAGTAAAATCATAGAAGTAGGTGTTCTTCATAACCAGTAAAATCATAGAGGTGGGTGTTCTTTATAACCAGTAAAATCATAGAAGTAGGTGTTTTTCATAACTAGCAGATCAAAGAGGTGGGTGTTGTTCATAACCATTCCAATTGTAGAGGTGGGTGTTCTTCGTAACCATTCAAATCATAGAGGTGGGTGTTCTTCATAACCATTCAAATCATAGAGGTGGGTGTTCTTTATAAATATTTTGTAAAATAAGGTTAGAGAATATGCAAAAGAAACTGTAAAAGTGTAAAGTTTCACATCTTCCTCTGTAATGAAAGAATACAGGTGAGTAAAGCCATGTTACACCTATTGTTTCATGTTTACAGCTCTTGTTGCATGGTTAGACTTATATGTCTCGTTTCAAGTTTAAAGACTCAATTACTGATTCAAAGGCTGGTATTTCTATATCAACATAGGTTCTAATGGTGTCACAGTCTTCTTTATAATAGTGATCAAAGTTGTTAAACTTTTTTATTTAATATATTTGGTTTTAAAGGTCCTGGTTGAAATTTGGTATGTGCAAATCATCTCCTGAAACAAAAATAACTGGTTCTTACCAAATTCTTAAGAAAAAAGATAAGTAGGTACAAATTTTAACTAATATAACATACTTCAGTTTACAAGTAGGAATTAATAGCCTTGTTTTTGGTTATTGTTATATTTTTTAGGGTAAAGTAGCCTTGTTTTTGGTTATTGTTATATTTTTTAGGGTAAAGTAGCCTTGTTTTTGGTTAGTTATATTTTTAGATTAAAGTAGCCTTGTTTTTGATTATTGTTATATTTTTAGATTAAAGTGGCCTTGTTTTTGGTTATTGTTATATTTTTAGATTAAAATAGCCTTGTTTTTGGTTATTGTTATATTTTTAGATTAAAGTAACCTTGTTTTTGGTTATTGTTATATTTTTAGATTAAAGTAACCTTGTTTTTGGTTATTGTTATATTTTTTAGATTA